AAAAAAAAAAAAGAAAGAAAATACCACAACTTCAGTCAAGCACGTGTTAGTCCTCAAAGCAATGCCTTGGATCTTCAACATTAAGAACAGATCTTTTGAAGATTTTGGTTTCCTGACTGTTGCTTTCATGAGTGTTCATTGGAGATCCAAGCAAAATAGTCTTTGACAACGATCCAAAAAAAAAGAATTCTTCACTGAGCCTTTTGGAAAATGTAGCAGTAGTGATTCAGTCTCCTGTAATAGTATAATATATGCATTTTTTTTTTTTAGTTCAAAGATTGTTGGCCTTTAGGAGTGTTTTCCAGTCCAATCTGTTGGGGTACCACGCCCTGGCCCCAAAGTCCACCTTAGGCATTCCCTGGGGACCTTGCTACTCTGTTCCCTTGCTGTTCTGTTGCACCTCATTAGTGTTTTGCCTCGGTGTGGTAGGATCAGTTTGGGCGCAATTCCCACACTGTGTCTCCGGTGTTGTCCCCTGCAGGGCTATGGGTCAGTGAGGGATGTCATGTCTCATAGTGGGGCTGGCCATGTGGTCCTCTCTGTGGACTGGCTGCTCTAATTAGGAACATCTTCCTCAAGATCTGGTGGGCCAGAATGTGCTCCACTCTCTCCTCCTCCCCCTTCATCTGCTCGTGTGTGCTCCGATCAGATATGTCCTTCTCCCGGAGCTGCAGATTCAATGCCGTCCTTTGAAATAAATTCTTCTCGGAGAGGGGCAGGTGCCTACTTAGTAGTTGCGATTGGGGCTGGCCCCCAATCTGTGCATTTTAGTAAGAGAAATAAATCATAAAAATGTTTATATACAGTAAGATGCTCGTGAATATAAAGTAAAATCTCTTCAGTTCCGAGTCTTAATCATTAAGAATGTATGATATCTTTGCACAGAAATCAGGTGGCAGTCAAAGTCAAGAAGTAATTGAAGTTCAAGTGTGGGTGACCTCCAGATTTAAACTTTATTTTAATTTTTTTAATATTGTTACTGACATATCTTATTCATTCCAATATATGCCTTCCCTTCCCATACAGTTCTGTTGTTCAATCCCAGTGGGTAGGGCTATACAATCATCAGTGCCCTCACTCCCCTCTCCCCCCCCCCCTTAAACTTTATTTTAAAGGTGGTGTTTAATGTATGAGGAAATAAGTCATTAAGTATCCTAAGTACTTCAAAAGCATGCCTTTTATTTAATTAGCAAACCAGACATTATTTTGAGGGAGTTTCGTGTATATATTAAGAAAATATTCCTTATAGGTTCCTATTAGGGTAAAACTTTAGTTACTGCACATGTGTGAAAGTAACTTAAACAACTTCTTTTAAAAGCTGTGAATCAACTTGGCATTCATTGTTTTGTTTTGTTCCAGTAAGGGAGAACATCTAAGATTTTATTCCTTAAGCGGAAAGTTTCAGAATTGTGCTAATAGAGCTTATCCTTCATCCGTGCTTCACCCCTCACCTGTCTGTGTGTCACAGAGGGGTGAGCGCCGTAGGCGGGTCCTCCTTGGAGCACGTCACGCAGAGCCTCCTGGGTCGCCCTCTGTCGCGGCAGCTGATGTCCCTCGTGGCCGGGCTTAGAAATGGAGCCCTGTTGCTCACCGGAGGAAAGGTGTGTGCTTTGCAAATGCTCGCTTTGACTCACTGAGAACTCTCCTTGGGTTTTGATCACCTGTAACACTGTTACCGTGAGAGGTGAGAAGCGTTCATTCACTAATCAGTACAAAAACTTGTCGTAGTGAGATACAGACCTACTCCTCACACAGTGACTGTCTCGCTATGTGCTTCACATTTACAACAATAGAGGAAACCTTTTCTTCAGCTGTATGACAGTCCTGAATGCTGGCGTGGGGGGCCAGCGTACTGCTGACTCTGATGGTGAAGGCCAGGATGCTCAGTGGTGTGGTAGTTATGTACTTATGTACCTTGGCAGTCACATAATGATTGAGTCAGCGGTCATCCATTTTGTGTTCTGATGTGGTCATCTTCCATATACGTTGATTTTTACATTAAGACTTGGACTTTGGAACTTAACTATGCCGATGCATGAGGAGTGATGCATATTTTCCACAAAAAGTTTGTGGAAAATGGAATTAAGGATAAGGGAATTTTTCCATGAACTTTTAAAGCCTCTACATATAACATAAAATTTTCCATTTTAACCATTGTTAACCAATGGTTTACCATTTAACCAATGTTAAATTCAGGGCATTAATTATATTCACAATGTTATACAAATATCACCATCATTTATTTCCAAACGTTTTTACCACCCCACACAGCAACTCTGTACCCATTATATACCAATTCCTCATTGTCTCTCCCCAAATCCTCAAACCCAAACCAAACTCATTGCCAGTAAGTCTGTTCCAACTCATGTTGACCCTCTGTCCAGGACAGAGTAGAACTGCCCCTGTGGGTTTCTGAGACTGAATCTTTAAAGGAGTAGAAAGTTTCATCTTTGTCCTGTGAAACTGCTGGTGGGTTTGAACTGCCAACCTTACGGTTAGTAGGCCCACATAGAACTCACCAGGCCACCAGGGATCCCTCTCGTCCTAGGTAACCACTAGTCTATTTTCTGTCTCTATACTTTTTCTTGTTCTAGATATTTCCTATAAATAGAATCATACAGTACTTGCATTTTATGCCTGTTTTATTTCACTTAGCATAATATTTTTAAAGTTTTTTCATGTTGTAGCATGTATCTGAACATTGTTTCTCTTTATAGCCAAAATAATAAGCTGTTGTTTGGATATATCCAACATTTTGTTCTCTGTTCGTTTGTTGATAGACACTTGGTTATTCTACTTTGGCTGTGGTGAGCAGTGGTTCTGTGAAGATTGGTATATAAAGTACCTGTTTGGCTATATAAAGAATTGAGGGGTGTATGATCATTTGGTGGATGCCACGGTAACACAGGCCTTTTCTGGTTGTCTACACCGGGAGTCCTTCTGAAATAATTCTTTTCTAGGGGAGTGGAAAATCAACCTTAGCTACGGCAATCTGTCAAGAAGCATTTGACACACTGGATGCCCATGTGGAAGTAGTTGACTGTAAAACTTTGCAAGGTATGAAAATGATAACCCTCTGCACAAATTCCTTTTTGGTAGAAAGACAGAAATATTGTTTATTGCTGTTACTCTAATAAATATAATCATCTTTAAAAAGCCCCAAAACCCTAGCTCACTGCCATCGAGTCAACCTTGACTCCTGGTGACTCGTAGGACAGGATGGAACTGCCCTTGTGGGCTTCTGAGACTCACTCTTCCCAGAAGTGAAAAGCAGAGAGGGGGAGGGGAAAGGAAGGGCAGCCAACAAACCCAGCGACAAGGGAACAACCGAAGATCTAAGATCAATGGCGAGGAGGGCATAGAATGCCTGGTGGGCCTCAATCAAGTGCATTGTAGCCGAGAGGAAGTACAGAGAGCCGAATGAAGGACGAACATGATAGTGGGACAGGAGGAAAATAAAAGGAAACAGAGGAAAGAATTAGGAGGCAAAAGACATTTATTGAGGTAAAAGTATACTCATGTACATATGTCAATATATTAACATAACGATAGGGATATAGGTCTAAGTACATATATTTATATGTTAAGTATTAAGGTAGCAGACAGACATTGGGCCTCTCCTCAAGCCCTCCCTCAACACAAGAACACTTTGTTCTCGTAACCTGGCATTCTGTGATGCTCACCCTCCTGACACAATTGCTGAAGACTAAATGGGTGCATAAGCTAATGTGAAGAAAACTGATGGTGCCCAACTATCAAAAGATATAGCATCTGGGTTCTTAAAGGATTGAAGTTAAACAAGCAGCCACCTAGCAGGGAAGCAACAAAGCTTGGAATAAGCACACTAACCCATATGATCACAAGGTGTCAACAGGATCAGGCATCAGAAAACCCAAACAAACAACCATTTCGATGTGAATGAGGGGAGTCGGACTGGAGACCCAAAGCCCATCTGTAGACAATTGGACATTCCCTCACAAAAGGATCACAAGGAAGGGATGAGCCAGCCAGGGTGCAGTATAGCACTGATGAAACATACAACTTTCCTCTAGTTCTTTAATTCTTCCTGCCCCTCCCCCCCACTATCATGACCTCTGTTCTACCTTACAAATCTGGCTAGACCAGAGCATGTACACTGGTACAGATAAGAGCTCTCGACACACAGAATCCAGAACAGCTAACCCCCTAGGGATCAATAATGAAAGTAGCAATACCATGAGGGTAGGGTGAGAAAGGGGGAACTAATCGCAATGATTGACTTACAAACTCCCCCACCCCAGGGGGACTAACAACAGAAACATGGGTGAAGGGCGACCGTGCACAGTGTGAAATATGAAACTAAAAATAATTTATAAATTATTGAAGGTTCATTGGGTGGGGGGGAGCTGATCCCAAGGCCTCAAGTAGAAAGAAAATGTTTTGGAAATGATCATGGCAACAGATGTACAAATGTGCTTGATACAATTGATTTATGGATCGTTATAAGAGCTGTAAGAGCCCCCAATAAAATGATATATTAAAATAAAAATAGTTTAAAAAGAAGTAGAAAGCCTCATCTTTCTCCTTTGGAGCGGCTGATGCTTTTGAACTGCTGACCTCGTTACTAGTTGCCCAGTATGTAACCACTACACCACCAGGGCTCCCACGATGTAATTTAGTGAGTATAAAATATCTCTGGATTGCCATGGAAAACTGGTAGGTGGGGAAAGAGGGTGGCAGCAGAGAGCAGGGAAAAGAGAATTACAGTTCACCAAATGGACTTTTGTACTTTTAAAGTTCATTATCTATTCAATGAAAACACACACACACTCTCTCTGAAAATATTTCATTTTGAAAAGTTCTCCACCCTGCTGACTTCTTCTACCACATAATCCAGCTATGTAAGAAATAGTCTTCGGAAACCCCTTACGTTACCTGCTGTAGAACTAGTTTTAGAAACATTTTCTATGGCTGAGACTCCTGTGTGACGCCTTGGGTGAAGATGTTAGCTTAGAGCTCGGGATCAGAATGGTTTTGCATTCTCCTGTGAATTGACTTGTTTTCTAGTCGTTGCGTCTCACGACCTTGAACGATGAGACGTTGAAGCCGCGGCGTGATTCAGACCCTGCAACGCTAGGGTCCCAAGGCAGCTGTGTCTTATCCCACCAGGATCTTGCCCGGCGCCCCGTCCTGTGCCCTTTCCCACACTTGGCTTTCATGCTGAGACTGTGGAAAGCCGTCTGAAATGGCCCTGGAAGCATGTAGAAATGAGAGCAGCGGCTTTCCTTTGGGGCTTGAAAGCCTCAGCGCTGCACTAAGTCCTCCGAGCTGTGTTCTTTGAACTCAGTTCCGCTTAGCAGGTCGTGGAGATTGTCAGATTAGGAAAATATAGATCCAGTTTTAATATTTTATTAATCATTTTATTGGGGATGGCTCCAGGTTTTTTTTTAAATCATTTTACTGGGGGCTCTTGCAACCCTTATCACAATCCATACATCCATCATTGTGTCAAGCACATTTATACGTATGTTGCCATCATCATTTTCAAAACATTTTCTTTCTACTTGAGCCCTTGATAACAGCTCATTTTTACCACTCCCCCACCCACCCTCCCTGGATCCAGTTTTTATAGTTAAATTAATAATTAGCTTTTCTAAGATTCCCAAAAGGAGCCCTGGTGGTGCAGAGGTTAAAGCCTCTGCTCCCCCCACCCCAGACGATCAGCAGTTGGGACCACCAGCTGCTCTACCAAAGAGAGACTTGGCAGTCTGCTCTGTAAAGACACAGCCTTGGGAACCTTCCGGGCAGTTCTGCCCTGTCCTACAGGATGGTTGAAAGGCAGAATCGACTCACCGGCAGTGGGTTGGTTTACGTTTTAATCCTTTCGAAGTGGTAGCCTGAAATAACACTGAAACCCTTTCTTGTCTTCTGCGTTCAGGCAAACGACTGGAACACATACAGAAGTCCTTCACGGCAGCTTTCTCAGAGGCAGCGTGGAGGCAGCCATCCGCCATCCTGTTGGACGACCTCGACCTGGTGGTGGGGCTGCCCGCCCTCCCTGAGCACGAGCACAGCCCTGCCACGGTGCAGAGCCAGCGCGTCGCGCACGGTAGTGCCCTCTCAGCATCGCATGGCCTTTGTCCTCTCTCAGACAGTGCTTTTCCTCCTGGATGAGAAATCCAGAGGCTAGAATATACACTGTGTTCTCTGTTCCCTTGGGGCCTCTGTAGCGTTCTGCCGACACCCTGCCATCGGTGGCAAAAGTGGGCACACGGGAGCGGCATGAACAACAGCCTTCAACTTCCCCATTAGTCTTCTGAGGTCGGATGTATTGATACAGGTTTATTCTTGCTTTGTCCAGCTGACAAGGATTTGTTAAATGTTTTTATTCACTCTGTAATTTTAAGTCTCGCAGAGGACAGAAAAGGGAACCAGTTGGGGCACAGAGTAATGATAGTGATGGCTGCCATCAAAGGCTCCTGGAGGAGTTGGTAACTGGGTTAGCTTTTGACCCATTAGTAGAAATTCACTAAGTGAAGAAGAGAGGGAAGTGTGGGCAGTACTCAGCAACGCAGAGGGCGTGGCTGTGCCAGAGAAAGCGCCGTGGACTGGAGCTGAGAGGCCCAGAGAATGACGGGGGCTCCACCGCCTGCCTCGTGCTTCCTGGGTGCTAACACAGGAGGGGCTACCCTGGCACACTGGGTGTGTTTTAAACTAGTGTTGGTCTGAAATGTGAACCCCTTGTAAGACCTAATGCTTCATCCAGTCGCTTCAGCGAGTGCGGAGGATGTCTGGGTGTGAAGCAGCTCTGCCTCAGTGCCGGTTTTATTTCTCACCTTCTCAGACCAACCAGACTGGCAGTGGCAAGAGATTGTTCCTGAAGTCATAGGATATGAGCTAGATATAGTGTGCTTAACACAGAGAAGACCGTAGGGAAAGTTATCACCCACCTATCTAAAACATCCTCATTTCAGGGACCCGTCTTTACTGTTTATTCTCGTTTCATACGAACTAGGCGTAGGGAACCTCAGGTGGCATTGATAGTTACAGTAGCCTCCCGCCTGCACCGCCAGTGGATTGATTAGCGTGTGACCCTCCGTAGGTCCTCCATAGGTAAATCAGTGCCTGGATGCACAAGCTAAAATTTAAAAGGTATGAAAGAGCCATGCTCTGCATATTCTACCTTGAACTCAACTTTAGGTTATCATTTTCACTGAATCTAAAGTTACTGTTTACGTTTCCTAAGCTTTATATAATACTAACAAAGAAATATTGTTGAATTCTAGCATTGAACAATATGATAAAAGAATGTATTTCCACGGGAAGTTTGGTTGCACTGATTGCCACAAGCCAGTCCCAGCATTCTCTGCATCCCGCACTTGTTTCTGCCCAGGGAGTCCACGTGTTCCAGTGCTGTCAGCATATCCAGCCTCCTACGCAGGTAACCCGTACTGTTGGGAAGGCTGCTGCAGCAGGTCTCCCTGTAGCACCATCATTGCTGTGGTTTGCTTGGGTTGTCTGTCTTTAAGTTTACATGTATGTGAATGATATTAAGGATATGTTTGTGGGGTACCAGCCCCCACAGCCAAATGGGCTCGAGGGGCAATTGTGTAACTGAAGGTAAAGAGACTCAGACCAGAGAAAGAATACAAAGGCTCACCTCCGCCATGACCTCCAGGTGCTGGGTCCGTGCAGAGAGAGAGATTATAGTTCCAACAACAGCTTATATACTTCAGGGCATGCAAGCCCCCCTAATTCCAGGTAACCACATACATAACAAAGTGGGCTGTAACTTAACCCTAAAAGTCCCTGAGTTTATTGAAGGAGAAACCTAATAACACCGGTGCGGGGGCAGGTCAGGGGAAGTGACTGTCTCCTGAGCAAGGAGAACAATTGCAACCTGCCTGCTCCTATAGATAAAGCTGCAGGGTAGATAGCAATCAGCCGTGTGCTTGTAAGAGGTAACTTTCAGGTAGCACTGTTGTGGGAGGATAAAGTGGGGAGCAATCTTAATTATGAGAGTGTGATTGGAACTCATCTCTAACTCATAAGTGTGAAGGCCTCCCTCCACCCCAGATTTTGGTCTGCCAGATTTATTAAAATATGAGAATAATCAATGCATCCACATATACTCTATCCCCATTCCTCAGTTTCCCACATATGTTAAAGTCAGCATCCAATGCATATTGTGTGCAATGACCACTTAGACCCATCTGAAATGCTACTATGCATTTCCCAAGGATGTGACTTTTGTTTTGAAAACAGCATAGCTTTAAAAAAGTATTTTACTGTGGCATAAAGATGTTCCCCCAGCACCCAAGCTTGGGAAGTGCTTGGTTATAACTGAGGATTTTCACGACTGGCCTCTATGCGCACTATTATCTGTGTGGGCACTTTTGCAGCCTGCAAACTATGCGTGTAGGCATGTCAGCTGTCAACCCTATGCTCCATCTCACCCCCCACTCTCTGCTTTTATAACTCTGTCTGCCACAGCGTTCTTTATGTTGATGCCAGGCGCTGTACTTCATTGCAGTAGCCACACACAGCTCCCAGACACTGCTCATGAGTGTGGCAGCCACTCCTGAATCATTTACAATCATCAGTACCTTCTCCACCTGCTTACCTGGACCCATCAGTGAAAGGTCCTTTGGGGGGGGTGTTACAGACACTGGCTTCGGAGAGCCACATAAAATAATGTACTACCGTGTACCTCCTTATGCCCGCTCACCCCGTTCACCGATATAACTTCCTGTGTATCCACTCAGACATCATTGAGTGTATCCACTCAGATATCACTGTGTATCCACTCAGACATCATTGTGGTTACTGTGATCACATAATTGCACTTTATTCTTGCATCGCTTTTAGTGTCTTCCTTGGCCTTGATCCTTTCGTGCTGACCTACCCCTGCCTTTCCTGTCACCCAATCTAGCTACTGATTTTCCCTCTCACCCCAGTACTCATCAAATAATGTTTCTTTCTGTGTTGGAAGACTTTTCTTAACCTTTTATAACAGTGACCTCACGCAGTATTTGCCCTTTTGTGATGGACGCATTTCACTCAGCGTCATGCCCCCCGGGGCCTCCGTGTTGAGTTACTTCACAGATGCATCGTTATCCTTGAACTTTGCATCGTGTGCCTCATGCGTTGGCCTGTGTAGCCCTTTACCCGCCCGTGGACTTGAGGCTCGTTCCGTCACTGCGATTGTGTCTAAAGCCGCAGTGCAGGTGGGGGTGCGGCAAGGCCTGTCCTTAATGGGAGCGCGGTGAGAAACTTGATGCAGTACACTCTCTACTCCACGAGCACACGTGGCCCCTAGTCCCCTTTGGGAACTCATGCCCATGATGACTTTAGGGCCAGGGAGCTCATGGAAGTAGTGGGTTCCAGGGTTGGCAAGCTTGTTTTAGATTTGTTTAAATATTCTTACCTAGTGTTTATTCAGACCCTCTGCTAATTGACTGCTGTTGAAAAAAAGTCTTTAAAATGAAAGTACTGTATAACAAACTGATATATTTAAAATGTGTGACTTGGTCAGGGTTTTGTTTGGTTGTTCTTAACTTGGTCAGTTTTAACTTATGCATGTACCATGAAATTAGCAGCACAGTGATGGTAACAGACATCTCTGTACTTCCAAAAGTTTCTTAGTGCCCCAGGGCCATTGATTTCCCCACCTGTGTCCCCATGTAGCCACCAGCCTGCTTTCTGGCACTGGAGACTATGGCAGCCTGATATTTCTCAAAATGTGTATGCCAAATCTGTACATGGATAGAATTAAACATTTGAATTTTGTGCTTTTTCATTAGGAGCAAAGATGTGAGATTCTTCATAGTGTAATGAAAAATAAACTAGATTGTGATGTGAAGAAGTTTCCTGATCTAGACTTGGACCTTGTCGCTAAAGCAACAGAAGGGTTTGTAGCTAGAGATTTTACAGTGCTTATGGACCGAGCCATCCATTCCCGTCTCTCTCTCCAGAGTCTGTCGTGCAAGGAAGGTATGTGTTACTGAATCCTTTTACCATGGTTGAGAAGGGTCATTGCAGTAGGGCAAGAATTAAGCACATTCTATTTTAATGTTTTAATAAGCATAAGCACATTCTATTTTAGTGTCAAATAAGCAGTAATCTGATTGAAAAATTGGCATCTCCAGCTAAGATGGTGGCCGATCTGCAAAATTCATATATTCAATATGGCTGCCAAAGTAAGTGTCATTTATTTTCTGACAGAATTAGTCTTAACAACACTGGACTTCCAGAAAGCTCTCCATGGATTTACTCCAGCATCTCTGCGGAACGTCAGCCTGCATAAGCCTAGAGACCTGGGCTGGGATAAGATTGGTGGATTGCATGAAGTTCAGCAGATCCTCATGGATACTATCCAGTTACCAGCCAAGGTGCTTTAACGGCAAACAAGTATTTTCCTCCCAGGAGAACCACTGACTCATAGGCTGTGGCTTTCTTCATGGGTTGCTTAACTTGTTCAATCTCATTTTGATTCAGTGAGTTTTACTTTGAGTTAGAAAATCAATATCCAGCACTATTTTAGCTAAAATCACCATTCAAACAATGTATTTGAGACACTTACTGCACGCACACACATACGCACACACATATGCACACAAACCTATAAGGAAATCTGGGATGACACTGATAATATATTCCATGTGAAGTTCTTGATTCCTCTATTTTGTTTGAATCGTTCAGATTTTACTAAAGGTAAATGAACTGGCAGCCGGGACTTGAACAGAAAAGGCTAGAGATAAACTGGGAGGTAGACGAGTCAGCTAGGTTTGTAGGCTTGATGGAGTAATCCAAATGTGCAGACCTGGGAAGGCAGTGCAGGCTGGGTGGATGGCAGAGTCCAGGTGGAAACTGTTTTCCAGAAGATCAGAAAGCAGTGTCTCGGAGGTGGTGTGGCTGAATCAGAGACCAGGGAGATAAGAGTCACTGCAAAGACCTGGGACCCAGGCAGAGAAAGGAACAGGTGAGTGAGGACCCTGGGTTACATGTACCTGGATGTTGAGTCCTGGGCTCTGTGGCCCTCAGAAAGGACCTGGGCCATGGTTATGCAGCCCAAACTGTGAGCTAAAGCCCATTTGAGAAAACAAAGGTTCCGAAGCACTGCTTAGAAGGCTCGTGGCCTCAAATGCTGGGTTGGGCAGCAAGCATCAATATGCAGATAGATGGAGATCATGTACTGATCAGCTGGCTTTGGGGCCTGTTTCAGTTTACAGTAGTGATTGAGGTAGCTGAGGGTGGACATCTGTCCCCAGGTGGGACTCAATAGGCATCCCTGATAGATGAGACCAGGATGTTGACAGTAGCCCAATATTTGCCTCACCTGCTGTTAAAAGTTGTCCTTTCCCTCTGGGCATTGATTTAGAAGGAAATTTAGGGAAAAGGAATCAGTTATTCAGCCTAGAGACTCAAGGGGGATTTTATGGTCTTTAATCTCGGGAATGATTCTCTTTTTTCTTTTCTTGAGTGAATGTATTTTAATAAACATAGCTTTTATAAACTCACCCTGTGAAACAATTACAAGACAGTAAACTTCATAGTTTCTTAAATTAGTACTTTTATAATGTTTTTTTTTTAAAGAGGAAAAAATGGAAAGATGTTTCGATGCACTTACATGCTTGTTACAAACGTGTACTCCCCCGTCCTTATTTATGTACCTGCTTCAGGCAGCCATTGGAAGCCTCCATGGTAGCTCCTTCATGACCTGTAACAGGGCTGTTGGGTCCTAACACTGAAGGGAGCAGTCAGGGCTCGAGTACTTTTTCTGTACGCTGATCTTTAGAGCTGCTTTGTCATTTCTGTTTTAGACTTGAATGCTCTCTCTCTTTTTTTCCAGTACCCAGAATTATTTGCAAACTTGCCCATACGACAGAGAACAGGCATACTATTGTATGGTCCTCCTGGGGCAGGGAAAACCTTGCTGGCTGGGGTAATTGCACGAGAGAGTGGAATGAATTTTATTAGCATCAAGGTATGTTGCACATTGACCTTTCTAGACTGTCAGCTAGTCGCCTGCTTGGAGATAAAAAGCTGTGTGAGCTGAAAGTCTGTAACGGGATGGGGGTGGGGGTGGGGCACTAGACTGCTCCATCATTGACTGTAGGAAGAGCAATGGGGTCTTGGGTATAAGGCGTGCCCCTGGGTCACCAGTGCTGAGGACTCAAAGGGTATAAGTGCTGTTAGGTATGTGGGTCCTGGGATATGGATCCCTGAAAGAAAGGGGGGTTGAACCGATGGATTATAACACTCTTCACTATTTAATAGAAAAACAACAGGGACAGGGGAATAGCAAGGAATCTCAAATTGACAGTGAGGGCGGTGTAGGGTTCCAGGTCGTGTTTAATTTAAATGTATCCGAGAGGAATTACTGAGAGGTGAACAATGGGTGAACATCATAGTGGGGCAAGAGGAAAGAACAAGAAAGTAAAAAATTATATATATATGTATGTATGTATAAATATAGATATGCATATATGTAAAGATAGAAAGATAGGTGTATTTGTCTATGTGTGTGTGTTTATATACATATATATGTAAATATGATAAGCAGATGGACTTTGGGCCTCTACTTAATCTTACCTCAGTACAAAAACACTTTGTTCTAATAATGTGGCAATGTATGATACTCATCTTCTCAACACAATCGCTGAAGACAAATGGGTGCATAAGCAAATGAGGTGAAGAAAGCTGACGGTGCCCATGTATTAAAATATATAGCATCTGTGGTCTTAAAGGCTTGAAGTTAAACAATCAGCCATCTAGCAAGGAAGCAACAAAGCCCACAAGGAAGAAGCACATCACCCTGTGTGATCATGAGGTATCAACGGGAATAGGAATAAGAAGTTCAAAAACAAGCAATCAAATTGACTTGAAGGAGCGCAAAGGAGACCCAAAGCCCACTTGTATGACAATTGAACAGTCCCTCACAGAAGGGCCCCATGTATCCAGGGTGCGGTATAGCACTCATGAAACACCTAACTCATTAGTAGGCCACTGGAGATCCCCGTGCAGAGGGGTCTTGGGGAGGAGACGAGCCAGTCAGGGTGCGATGTAACAACGATGAGAAATACAACTTTCCTCTAGTTCCTAAATGTTTCCTCCCCGCTCCCACTACCATGACTCGAATTCGACCTTGCAAGTCTGGCTAGACCAGAGGATGTACAGTGGTACAGATAGGAACTGAAAATACAGGGACTCCAGGGCGGATGAGCCCTACAGGACCAGTGGTGTGAGTGGCGAAACAGGGAGGGTAAAGGGAGAATGGGTAGGAAAGAGGGAACCGATTACAAGGAACTATATGTAACCTCCTCCCTGGGGGACAGACAACCGAAAAGTGGGTGAAGGGAGACGTCGGACAGGGCAAGATATGACAAAATACCAATTTATAAACTATCAAGGGCTCATGAGGAAGGCGGGAGCGGGGAGGGAGGGGAAAAATGAGGACCTAATGTCGGGGGTTTAAGTGGAGAGAAAATGTTTTGAGAAACGATGTACAAATGCGCTTTACACAATTGATGTGTGTATGGATTGCGATAACAGTTGTATGAGCCCCCAATAAAATGTTTAAAAATAAATAAATAAATAAATAAAATAAAACAAGGGGGGGAAAAAGAAAAGAGGGAAAAAAAAGATGCAAAGATTGCAAATTCTTATCAGGCTAATTTACAAAATGAAAAATGAAAAATTGGGGCAATGAATGTACAAAAGTGCTTTACACAATTGATGTATGTATTGATTGTGATAAGAGTTGTATGAGCCCCTGATAAATCTATTAAAAATAAAAAATTGAATAACAACAACAAAAAAGAAATACCTAACTATCCTCTAGCTCTTTAATATTTCATCCCCTTACTATTATAGTCTTAGTTTTACCTCTTAAATCTTGTTAGACCTGCATATGTTCACTTGTATAATTAAGAGCATCCGATGCATGAAATCCAAGATAGATAAACCCTTCAGAAATAGTAATGGGAGTAATGATTCCCTGAGCATATGGGAAGAGGGTGGGGAGTATGGGGGACTGATAGCAATAATGACTGTGTAACTCCGCTCAAGTGGAATGAATAACAGAATTGAAGGTGAACGGATACATTGGATGGTGTAATGCAAAAAACAATAAATAATATATAATAATAAGGGTTCCTGGGTGGTAGTGTTAGATCTCTCTGGAGCTAGATCTAGATCTATACCTCGGTGCTTGGCTCCGGGCGAGAAAGAATTCACGCTGAAGCCTGGTTTGTGATCCAAGTGAGTTTTATTAGAGTTAAAAGAAGTTTCAGGTTTACACGGCACTCATAGGACTCCTCCCAAACATCCAGCCTGCCTAGAAGCTGCTCAGTGGCACACGAAAGTGTTTCAAAGTTCTTCCAAAGTTCTCTGCCAAAGTTCTGCCACTGGAATCCTTTTCAAGGATTCCACGGGGAGGCGTGGTGGACAACCCCTGATCGACCCCATTGGCTGAATTGAATTTACCTGGCCTAGGTGGGCCAATCCAGGTTTAGCGTCCACCCGTGCCTACCGGCAGGAAACCTAAACCTCTGAGCTTGTGCAGTGAGCCACTCCTTTGTTGCTGTAGCTTGGCCCTCTGGGCATGCGTTAATGGACATCCCCCAGCCCTGCTAGCCTACCTAACAGTAGGTTTGGGGAGGGAGGGGAAAGGGGATCTGATATCAAAGAGTTCAAGAAGAAAATGTTTTGAAACCGATGGTGTTGGCAATTGTACAATTATACGTGATCTAATTGAATTATGGATTGTTATAATATCTATAAGAGCTCCTGATAAAATGATAATTTTTTAAAAAAGCAGTGTGGGCAGTTGAATACAGATCCACATGCCTCTGGTGATGCCCTCTCATAATAGTTGTTTCCACTGGAACAAGCTTGTCTTTCTATAGGCAAGGCAGGACGTGAGGGCGATCTGGCTGCAGCATCTGTAACCCCACTGATTGCCAGGGTTGATTTGGCTGGCTAGGCAGGTGTCCCCTTCCTCCCTCACTGCTCCATGTGCGCGTCCTTCCCGCACGACCTTCCCCCGATAGGACTGCCCTTCAGTCAAGGGTATATGAGTAGCTGCGGTCCCCTGCTCGAACTTCCAAACAAGTCTCCATAGGTAAAGCAGATCGTCATTAAATTTGATCTTGCCTTTAAACTTTGATACTCCCTAAAATCAAATGATAGATACAAATGTTCACTTTCCATTTTATTTCCCCAGACAAAAGCAATTCTGCATATCTACAGGGGAATACCATCTATTTTATTGCAGTTGCTTAAAAAAAATAATAAACCAATAAAACTCTGGCCTTAAAACATAAAAGCCCTCTGTGGGGAAGTGGGTCATGAGCTGCCTCTCCTTTAGGGCTTATAGTGTTTTTGCTGAAGGTAAACCTTCGGGTACTGCCAATAAAAATAATCACATAAAAAGCAAATTTCACCTGAAAGGGAATGCAAACCTAGACAAGAGGCAGGATTTTTATGGTCCTGCAACTTGTTGGCTGCTTGCTCCCTTGCTTATGCACACTAGGTCTGACGTTTTTCAGGTGTAAGGTGAGCCCATGCGTTTACCGCAGAGTGACGAGGTCCCAAGACAAAGGAAGCATCTACGCAGCCATTTTCAAAATGGATTTTGAATCTGAAAGCCAGTTGAGAAATTTGCAGTTGGGTTACCCTACCCTGGCAAGTTTGGAGAATCACTAATGCTTTTTAATTTTCTAGCTTATTTTTTCTGGATTTTGGGGTGACCCTGAGTGTATTCTTTTTACACTTACCAATTGAATGTAGTTTTGCTTTAAAAAAAAAATTAAGACCTTGTATTTTCAAGATCAATGTCTGTGCATTTAGATTGTCCCCTCAGGGAGGCCTCCTTATCCCCTTTGGGAAGTCTCAAGTCTCAGTGGGTCCCATTCCCAGTGGAAAGGTCTCAGCAGAGGGCTCACTCCACCCTGGCAATGGGGTGTGAGCGACAAAGACCCCTGCCTGTCAGGAGCACGTTGCCTCGTTCGTCTTCTCACACTCCAGTTCTGACTGTACTGGAGAGACTGAATCCATTAACACACGTGTAGGTAGCTGAGTATTAGCAGTTCTGTGTCCGTCACATATCCTTAGCTAGTTTGGTCTTTGGGATCACTAGGTCCTATTCAGTTTTTAGAAAGATCCTTTTTTGTAAGTGATATCCCAATTTAAGGGGAAGACTATTCTCATGGATAATTTCGTAATGTGTAGTAAAGTTGTGTTTTTTCAGTTGACTTTTAGGAAATATTCTTAAACTTTGTACAGATAAATTGGTTTCTGTATTTGAGAATGCTGGCAAAGTATTTCATGTCTTGTTTTTTCTGAGTCTCCAAAAGTTTGAGATACAATCTGACTTTTTTATTTTTATTTTAAGCCATTCATTCAACAATAATTATTGAGTATTTATTGTGAGGCAAAGAACCTTGATGGCAGAGTGAGCTCATTGTGTTAGTCTGGGTACTGGAGAAACAAACTCATAGACACTCATGTGTGTAAGAGAGAACTTTATATCAAAGTTTGTATTAAGAAAACATCCCAGCCCATTCCAGATCAAATCCATTAGTCCAATATTACCCTATCTGTCTATATTAGTCCATAAATTCCTCTTTAAACTCATGCAGCCATTTAAAATGACGTCGAATGCAGGACGATCACAGGCCAGTGGGTGGAAAGTTTTGTGGATCCAGTGGTGGTGGAAGGTCTATCTCAGCGCTGACATGGGTCCCCATGTGGTTCCTCCAGCTCCAGGGCTCCCACTCTATCAGCATAGTTCCATGTTGCTTGTCAGCAGGAATGTCTCACAGCGAGTGAGTGTATCTGGCCTCCAGTGAGGTGCCTCCAAATGAGGTCATCAAGTTTTGACCTGATTGACAGGCTAGGCTCCACCCCTTCGCAAGTTGACAGATTGTGCAACTGCCACACTCATTGATCTAACTGCAAGGTCAACAATTTCACACCAGCAGCCGCTCTACGAGAGAAACGCGCTTTCTACTCCTGTAAATGTTTACAGTCTTGAAAACCTACAGGGGGCAGTTCTACTCTGTCCTGTAAGGTCACTATCAGCCAAAATTGACTCGATGACAGTAGTTTGGTGTGTTATGTGGCAGGCACTGAGGATTCAGCAGTGAACCAAAGTGCCTTTTAGAAACTTACTTCTAGGGGAGAAGGGCAATGCACAGATAAGTACGTGGAATATACTATCAGCGATGAGCTGTGTGGGAAGAAAGGCAAGATAAGGTGGTGTGAGTAACTAGAGTGGGGTCTTGGATGGGTTGACGGGAGTGGCATTTTGCAAGAGAACTGAAGGAAATGGAGCGAAGATCCTGGCAGAGGAAACTATGGGCATGTGGTGTTCGTTCCACCCATCTGATCATATCAAGCATTTCCTTGACCTAGTCATAAGCAAAAATTATATTGTTTTAAATAATTTTATCCCAATTCTAATTTAATTTTATTTTAATAGGGGCCAGAGTTACTCAGCAAATATATTGGAGCAAGTGAGCAAGCTGTTCGTGATATTTTTATTAGGTTGGTTCCCTATGAATATTTTTAAAGTAAATGACATTATTATTGCTAAGTTCTTACTTTTTGGCCTTCATCTTTTTTGAAGAACTGATGTTCAAAACCTCGGATTTCGTGGATTACAAATGAGCTAGAGGACAGACTATGTTTCACCAGATACTACTTAGATGTAAAACATTGTAGTGCTTAAATTTGAGGAGTTATTTGATCTGATAGCTACAATGGAAATACTTCTGGAATACCAAAAGCAGCATAGTAGGTGGTTATTTAAAGAAACCCACCGAGGACCGGCCTGGACCCGCGTGTGACCTCCTCTGCCTCAGAGGCTGGGGTCAGGCACGCCCTCACCCTGCATTCTTCCTTCCCAGTTCTGACGTCAGCTACCCCGCCCATGGCCGCCGCTCCTGTGGGGAGGTTCGGTCTTGCATTGCAGTGGCCACACAAGCTCACAGCAAAGCTCAGGATGATGGGTTTATAAGGCGAGTTAATAGGTTACAACTGAGGTGAGACATGCTCTGGGACAGTTGTTTCTCTGCCTTACCCACAGGCAGTGCTACAAAGCCCTTTCAGGGTTGCCAATAAATTCCTAAAGGGCATGCCACTTGGACATAAACCTCAGCCTAAAGGCACTCAGCTCCAGCTCAGTGGGTCAGCAACCCAGTAAGTGCCCAGAGGGCTGCAGCCCCTCCCCCACCCCTTCTGTCTGCAAGCCAGCCTCCTTCCCTATATTAGCACTCAGCTTTACTGGTTCTGCGGCTGCGCAGCCCACTGCCGTCTCGTGTTCTGGCTCCTGGTTCTGCTGCTGCTGTTCTGCGGTCCCTCTGACTGTACCGTGCACAGGGATCTCAGGGTGCAGAGTGTAGCCTTCCTCCTGGCTCTTTTGCTGGAGGAAGGTTCCCCTCCCTGCTTCTGACTGGCTGGTTTTATACCCAGTAGGATGACACTCACAGTGACCCCAGTTCACAGTCACAGCTGTAGCCGTTTCCCCACCCCACCCTCCTACCCAGACCCATCAGGAAATTCAAAGGTTGTTTGTTAGAGTAATAAAGGCTATGGCTAGAAGAGCCATGTTAAATACTTCACTGCGTTATGCCCAGACAAGGAAAACTTCCAGGCAAGTACGAAAGGGGAGAAAAATCTCATAATTGCACACATTATTATTTATAACCGGGATAGCACAGAATTGTTGGTTAGGATATAGAAGTGCTGGTTCTCCTCAAGTGTAGTCTCTGCTCTTCCATCCAGAGGAGTCGGCGGTGCAGTGTTCACATACCTGGCTGCTAACGGCCAGGTGCCCGCTTTGCACCCCCAGCTGCTCGTCAGACGAAAGAGGTTGCCGTTTGCTTCTGAAAAAAATGGAACTCCTGAAAAGGGAGCAGTTCTACTCTGTCCTGTGCGGTCACCGGGGGTCAGAGTCGACCCAACAGTAGATTTGATTTGATTTCTTAAATTGTATGCACAGGGCAGGGGACAAGGCAAACCCCTTGCACTGAGACCCAGTATACTGAAAACAAGAGTAAGGCCTCTTTAAGGGTTTGTTGTGAGCAAGATTTGAAAAGGTCTGTGTGCGTCATAAGTATGTGTGAAACCACTTGGCACACCTTCACACGGGAGTGTCTGTTTCTGCCCCCAGGGCGCAGGCAGCAAAGCCCTGCCTCCTTTTCTTCGATGAATTTGAGTCCATTGCGCCTCGAAGAGGACACGACAACACCGGCGTGACAGACCGAGTCGTTAACCAGCTGCTGACCCAGTTGGACGGCGTCGAAGGCTTACAGGGTACGATCGTAACTTACACCGACTTTGGTCCCAGCGCAGCTTGGCCGCGTTTTCGTGAGCCTGGTGGATGTCTCCGCAGGTGTTTATGTACTGGCTGCCACCAGTCGCCCTGACTTGATTGACCCTGCCCTGCTGCGGCCTGGTCGACTGGATAGATGTGTGTACTGCCCTCCTCCGGATCAGGTGACACTTTCATATTCAGTGCCCCAACCCAGCACCTGCTTCCCTCTTCCCCGGGGCACATTGCTTCTGCCCGGTTACAGCCGGTGTCCCGAGAAGACCCTGGCCTCGGCACTGTGGGCTCACAGCATAGAAGGATGCAGAGTTAGTTGAAAAGGCCTTCCTTTGTCCAGCCATTCCTATGCAAGTCTGAACCCCTGAGAGCCAACCGGTCAGTACCGGCCCCTGGGAGGAAGGGAGGAAGCAGGTGCTTAGTGCATGTCTGCCTCCCCGAGTTCCAAGCTGATCACACGCCGTGACCCAGCAGAACTGGCCCTTCACACATATAGATACGCAGGGAGTAGGTTATGAGGACTCAACTCTTCCTGGTCTGATCCTGTAAATTTTGTTTTCAAACTTAAAGGCGAATGAAGCAAGGAGTGAAAGAACAAATACTCAAAACAGAGACTGTGAGTGTCCGTCACATGTAGCTGTTATTTTGAATGAGTTTAGTTTTCCATGTGAAAACACTGTCGGCACACTTGCCCGGGTCTAGAAAATAATAAGCACTCTCTGAATACAACGGTAAATTTTTAAAAGAAATCATAAGACAAACAGTTGAAGGTACCATCTGATTTTGCTTTTCACTCAGTAGACCAGTTCGCTTTTCTTCCTGCAGGGCGCCCGTCTTGAAATCCTGCGCGTCCTCAGTGACTCTCTGCCGCTGGCGGCCGACGTAGACCTTCAGCACGTGGCATCGGTGACGGACTCCTTTACCGGAGCCGATCTGAAAGCTCTGCTCTACAATGCCCAGCTGGAGGCCTTACATGGAAGGCTGCTCTCGTGCGGACACCAAGTAAGTTAGACGAACAGGTCGTTTTTAACGGCCTTTTTTGATCGGTCAGAACAGCTTAACATAAAAATCCCAATCTTAAAAAAATCGTATCTTTTCAACAACCCTGTTGAAAAGATACTCAATTTAGATTTCCCGTTAACTGAATATTCCATGGTTGCGATGTTGACTTCACTGAGAGCGTTGTCATTTTGAAGTTTGGTGTCTGTTTCTTTAACATTTCCTTAATATTGGCAGAACTGTGTTGGCGCGTGGAAGGATATTATTTAAGTATTATATATTACATGATTGAAATAGAAAAGTAATTGAGACTTAGTTTGCTTTGTCCTTTGCTTGTTAGAAGAGCCAATTAGTGACATAGGCTGTTTACTTTGATGCTCAAATTGCCCTAGACTTGGCCAGGAGAAAGGCTCTTCTAGGTGGCTTCTGCGTCCTTCGGCGGAGTCTCATCACCCCGTGATGTTCCCTCGTCTGACACAGCAGCGTGTGATAGGTGTGTCTTGTAGACCCCCATGGACTCCCTCACGGCTGGGAAGGGTTGCCGAATGAGCCCTGATGGGCGAGCGGTTAGGAAGGGTGCTCCTGCATCCTCCCCAGTTGCGGTGATCCAGACGCCGTCTACAGTTCCTGAACCAAGCACGACCAAACTTTGTTGTTTTTGTGACAGGCCATTGAGGGCTCTCTTGTTGACACTTTCATTACCAGAAGAAAGATGTTTTTATAAAGCACTCTTTCAAGATAAATGTTGACCTGACTGATCAGAGAAATAAGAATGACGAGAGTCAGAGCTCATAAAAATCAACTCAGAGCTCTGGGTCAAGCTTTATTACAGACTTTTCTGAGGGGACGCTTGGCAAATTATCTACACATTACGTCTTCTCTTTCTTGTAATTTTGATACTTAAAAACCGTACTGTGTGACTCCGAGCCACTAGGGAATCAACAGAAGTTTTGAACAATGTCTTGCGTCTCTGTCCTGCCCGACAGACTAGTGTGGTGTCGTGGTTATGCCATCCACAGGGTCAGCAGTGGGACCACCAGCTGTTCAGTGGGAGGGGGATGAGGCGGTCTCCTCCCATGAATAGTTACAACCTGGGAACCCCCCAGGGGCCACTTCTACTCTGTCCTATGGGGTTGCTATGAGCTGGAATTAGCTCGATGACAGTGAGTTTGAGTACAGTATTACAATGTTACCTAAAGTGGGCTTAGGAGCATGAGGGCTGTACAAGCAGATGCCTACACGTTACCCTGGATTATGGGTGATAGTACAAAGGGCTGAGTAATTGTTTTTCTTCAAAGGTAGACCAAGTAATTCGGTAACCTATGCTATATTAGAATGCTACCTGAGTTGTGGTTTATTTCGGAGTTATGGATTATTTTGAACCTTACAACTGTATGTTGTATGTTCTAGGATGGAAGTTCCAGCTCTGATAGTGACCTAAGTCTGTCGTCGATGGTTTTCCTTAACCACAGTAGTGGCTCTGATGATTCAGCCGGAGATGGAGAATGTGGCCTAGAGCAGTCCCTTGTTTCTCTAGAGATGTCTGAGATCCTCCCAGATGAATCGAAGTTCAATATGTACCGACTCTACTTTGGAAGCTCCTATGAATCAGAACTTGGAAACGGAACCTCATCTGATTTGGTATCTTGCGCTGTCGGCATTTTAAAGTTCTAAAATACAAAGCCGTGTGGTGGTGTAAAGATGGACCGTGACTTATCTAACCAGCCTGCATGCTCTTTCTGATTGGTTGGTTCATCAGTAAACTGTCCTGTTTTTTTAACTAGGCATCTTCATTCCCAATTCAGAACTTTCGGTGCCGTGGGCCGTGCACTGGGCTGCGGGCCACATTGACTCCACCAGTGGCTCCAGGGAGAATGGAGGCAATCTGCTCCCTTAAGGATGTTCAGCCTGGGAAGCCCAGAGGGGCAGTGTTACTCTGTCCTCGAGGGCCGCTCTGAGTGGAGTGACTTGACGGCGTGGGCTCAGGGTGGGGTGCTCGGAACTTGAAGGCGGATGGGGGGGAACTGAAGTAGCAAGGGGCTGTGCTTATTCTGGCTTCTTGCCGACTTGTCACTCTCCCCTCGTGGCTATAAAACATCCACGGTAACAGATCGCTTCTGGGGACCTCAGATTCTCCTGTCACGGGACAGTTGCAATCTGGTCCGATATGTCAGACATGCCTGACAGCAACCTGTGTTTGTAAGAAAGTCTGGACACTCAGCAAGGAGTGTGTTTTGGTTACATGTGGGCACTATTGTTATTTTCTATTTAATTCAAATAACTCTCAACACAGCTCCACCACAAGTTAACAGTGAGCGATAGTTGCCTTTTTGGTGTTCATTACATTTTTTGTACATATCTAGTCATATTTTTTTTGATATTTGTAAATTTGTCTTATGAGTTCAGGTTTTTAAAACTATTTTTTTAAAGTGACCCATTTTTGCTTCAAGGATACTAAGCTGTTGATATTATTCCAGTTTTTAACTCTGGTTTCTAAACTTCCATCTGAAACATCCTAGGACCTTAGTGTAACTCTGTTTGCTGCCAAGTAAGAGTAAGGATCATTGGGAACCTGTCCCCCAGACATTGGCCTGGTAGACTTACTAACGAAGTATAAAAGCCAAAAACTCAAGTCAGGGCTGTTTTCTCTCTGTGGTGGTTCTGCAGCACTGATAGCAGTGAGCCTTTCTAGAATAAATGCCCTCCCCTTCAATTAGTCAGAATGTAAACCTATCTCTGAAATGCCTATCTTTAGTAAGTCCTCTCTCTCTCTCTCTCTCTCTCTCTCTCTCTC